CCCATGATTTGCCCTTAAAACAAGTATAATAAAAGTAGAACATAACAAGTGGTGACAGCGGTTATTTAAGTAGAAATCAACGTTAGTTATTATTTATTTTAATTGAAATAATTTTGGAAACATCCTTTCTTAAGGATCGTCTCTGTCAATGAATCATTCATTATCTGCCATTAATGAAATAACTTCGATGGAAGATCTTATTGATACAAACTTTATTAAATATTCTGGTAAAGGCGATGCCAAGGCTTGGTTATTACAAACAATGAATCAATTTAAACAATATGGATTACGTCGTCTTGAACAATTTCAAGCTATACCATTTTTATTAGAAGATACAGCATATTCATGGTATACTCAGAATAAACAGTTAATTATTAATTTTGAAAGATTTGCCAACTTATTCCTTAAACAATACTCATCTACATCATCAACAATACAAAATAATATTCCTGTAGAGACGGTTGCACCGTCAATTATTGCTCCAAATTTTTTACCTACATCACACTTACAGCAAACGATCGTCGGTGAAATTATTAAAACACCAACATATTGTCGTGGCTCAAAAGATGATGTTCACGATTGGTTAGAAAAATTAGAACAACGTTTTAAAATGGCAAAATGGAATGATGAAGAAAAATTACAATATATTTCAATACATTTACAAGATGATGCATATCGATGGTGGACACAAACATCTACGACGATTAAATCATGGTCATTATTTACTGAAGCTGTTACAAATGCTTTTGGATCAACAAAGGTACAAGAATTAGCTTTTGAACAATTAAAATGGTACAAACAAACGGTTAATCAATCTATTACACAATATTATGATAAAATTATTGAATTATGTAAGAAAGTTGATCCAGCTATGCCTGATTCATTAAAATTAAAATATTTAATGGCTGGTGTAAAAGAATCATTAAAGTTACATATTGCTTTATATGATCCACAAACGATTGAAACATTTTTATCATATGCAAGAAAAGTAGAAGATACATTATCTTTTACTAAACCTAATTATATAATACATCAATATAATGAATCACAAGATGTTCATACATTTCAACAATCATTATCACCAATCGCTACTCCTGAAGGACAACATGAACACAATGAATACAAAAATGTTCAATATCCACAACAAGAACTTTTAGACACAAAGGGTGAGAATAATTCACGTTATAAGAATTCCTTTTATTCTAGTCCATCACGTAATTCAACACCAAATAAGTGTTCAAGAATTTGTTATACATGTGGTACTCCTGGACATTATTCTCGGGATTGTACCCGTCACCATTTCGAGTAACGGAAGCTTCGCAAGATGGTGTTGCTTCCTGTAATATTAGTACAAATCCATCTTTCAATAACTCATCATTATTTCTTATAACAACACTTATTAATGATAAATATATGAAAGCTATGATAGATATGAATACATCTCATACATTTATTTCAATGAAATCATTATCGAAAATATGTAGTCAAGAATTTATTAATTCGATACATCGTCCAGTATTTTCTACTCATGAAAATATACCTTTTCCTATTTATGGTGAAATTCCATTATCAATTAAAATGGGTGAAATATTGACTTCAATTAGAGCATTTATTATTCAAGATTTAGACGTTGATTGTATATTAGGTATGGATTTTATTAAGAAATATAAATTACATATTAATTCGGAAGAGCAAACCATGTCGATTGCTGATAACAATAAACGAACAACATTACATATGAATGTTAATAATGGAAAAATTCGTTTGCCTGTGCGCTTGATTAATACTATTCGGATTAAACCAAAACAGACTGTTTCTGTTCCCGTTTCTGTTCCATTATCATCATATAAAGCGCTATTTCGACCATCATTTAATTTACAACAACACACACCTTTAGTAATATCAAGCTCATTAATATCTGTTAATGATTATACTTCTTTTATCTCTCTTTATAATCCGAAAAGTTATTCGCAAATGTTATCCAAAGGAATTATTTTGGGAACAACAACAATTTCTACATTACTATTGAAGAATATTTCTACTATTAACAAACAATCAATCTATAAAAATCCAAACAATTCATTTCATCCAAACTTGAAAGTAATGTTAGGCAAAATTAATAAAATTTATTCGAAACGTAATAGGCAACCGCTGGATACGGCGTCTGTTGCTGAAAAAATTTGTGGCCAAGTCGGTTCTATTTTTACATGTCCAAAAAACAAACCAACTATATGCAAACGACAACCAGATCAGTTTGATACAAATCAATTAAAAATTGAACAATCTAAAGATCCACATATTCAACAAAAAATTAAAGAACTAAAACAGAATCCAAACGGGCATCCCTATGTATTACAAGATGGAGTGTTATATAAATTAATGTTAATGAAGGCCAATTGTTTAACTAAAGTTAAATTAATTTATTTACCAACTTCCATGATTGATTCGTTTATTAAATTTTATCATACTGATCCTATTGCAGATTACTCCAGCATACAACGTATATATTTGAAATTAAAAAACAAGTTCTGGTGGCCAAATATGAAACAATCTATTATCCAATATATAAACACTTGTCTTCATTGTCAAGAAAATAGCAATAGCTATATTAAAAATCCCGATCAAGCATATCCAAAATCGACTATTAGCAAACAAAATTCTACTCAATTAGTACGAAATGAGACAACTTCATTAATTAATCGTCAACATGTTAATGATATTCGACCCAAATTTATAAAATCAAAATAAAATATTATTGTGTGCATTGATAAAGTATATTTATTATTTGATCGACTATATATATTTATAACAATATTCATATGAACAACTTACATTCATACAACATAAGTTATAATATTTGATCAGGTATATTTGTTACAAACTCGATCACGTTTTTGGTCGTATTTTTTTTCCTTTGCTTCCTGTTGTTAGCTTTTTCTATGTTTTCTGTTAATCATAGTCTTATATTATTTCATCTATTCATTTCTGTATCTTTTTTATATATGTTGTTAAAGACATGTTGTTATTTTCTATATAAAAAAAAGAATTTTTCTTTGTATCTAAAAATCTTTTTTTTTCTCAATGGGGTAGGGTGTTATGTCCTGACATCTATATCTATATGTATTGTTCATCTATTCTCTTTTCTTTCTTCTTCTTTGATGATATATATAGATATGCATGCGATATTATGTACCGGTGGTGATTCTTTAAGTTTAAGAAATAAACAAACGTTTATGTTCTACATATTCGAACCCATGATTTGCCCTTAAAACAAGTATAATAAAAGTAGAACATAACAAGTGGTGACAGCGGTTATTTAAGTACAAATCAACGTTAGTTATTATTTATTTTAATTGAAATAATTTTGGAAACATCCTTTCTTAAGGATCGTCT